GAGACGTCACGTCCCGTCGCCACAGCTCCTGTACCACCGCTGAACGGCCGGGTCACCGGCTCGGCTCCTCAGCGAAAACCTGAATATGTGCTGCATCTGCTGCCTACTTATACTCACGCTGTGATCAGCAGCAGCTGCATGCAATAATCGCATGCCAATGTGCATTGGCTCGTTTAGTTTACACTCAAAGTAGATTGGTCCCTCTAAGCGAGATCCCAATTCGTCGGTCCTCCGACGTGACGTCTCCGTTCCCTCCTTCAGGGAACGAGGGTTACATACGTAACCGAGACGTTTTCAATGGTCTCTTCATTTTTAAAATAGCTGTATAACTACATATGGAGCTATGAAAGTATTTTGTTGAAATATTACTTGCTAGTACAAAAATGACTGTTACAAATCTGCTAGTAATGATACAATCCTTCATAAATCTTAAAGGGTTCATTTGATGCGATTTCAAGTTTTCCTTTCTCTTTGGAGTGTTACAAGCTGATTGTGCATAGATAAGATCCCTGAAGTTGCAAAGACTAAAGTCACAAACCCAAAGAGATATTCTTTATCAAAGTTAAGACTCTGCCACGCCCCCCTAAACGGCTCGTTATAACACGCTCCCACATATCTAGGTCACTATATGGAAATATTTGCATAATGCGCCCAAATGTGCACGGAAAGAAAGAAGGCGTGGTTTCAGTAACCGCAGTTAGTGTTGAAGCAGCCATGTCAGGGAGACGCTGTGTGTTTCAGTGTGAAAGCAAAAGCTTGTGTACTGCATAATTACTGTGTCTGTTCCCCTTTCGGGCTTAAACTGATGGTAAAACTAATGACATTATTTACTGTCTTTACATTTATTTTGAAAGATGAAGCTCGCGATTATGGTAAGGGGAGTTACATTTCCGACGAGTGCTTGCGGTGTTCGGCCAATCACAATGCACTGGGTCAGCTGGCCAATCAGAGCAGGCTGCGCTTGTCGGAAGGAGGGATTTTGTACAAAATGAAGCGTTTGAGAGAGGTCTTATAAAATGTTGGATGGTTACTATAGGTCAGTAGTATTTTTAAGGTGAGGCTTAACACTTTGCACAAAACTAGCCACACTGACATCTTGATATTTAACAGTCCTTTTAGAGCAAATGTTATCAAACAATAGTCGGGTATTGTGTCTTAGGTCAGCTTTGAGGATTTTCTACTTCTCTATATATATTTTTTTTTATTCAATGTCAGTAATGATGCTCTAAGGCATTATGGGAATGATGCACAACCCGAGCAGTAAGTCATTGCGCCGGGGGACGCCCTCAGTTATTGTAAGAACAAGCCTCGGGGAAGCTCACGAACTGCAACCTCACAAATATGATGATATCAAGGAGTAAATGGTAGGAATCGAGGCCATTAAGAGTGGCGTAAATCAGCACTTTACAATAAATGATTGGACCCTCTTTAATCTTTGAAGAGTTTTCTGCATGGAGTTATGCTCATTCATATGATATATTCATCCACATTTTTCTGAGAGCTGTAATGTGTGGAGCCGCAGAGTTCATTGGAAGGTTAAGAGAATTTAAAGGAGAGAGGAAAGGAAGGACACTCGCTCAGGAAAAAAATGCAGGAACTAAAAACAGCTGCATGTTTTGGATATATTTGCATATATTCACTGCATTATTTATATTAAAATAATTTAACAGTCCACACATATTATTTTTCCTGCATTTTCTATTTTACATTGATGATTTTTGTTTATTTTTAGACATATGTTAAATTATTATTAATTTAAAAAACAATTAAGCATAGAAAAAAAAAGGTATTCATTTAAACCCACAAGTTCTCTCTGTTCAAAATTCGGATGTAAATCTATTTAAACAGTAAAAATATATATATATTAGTACTTTTAATCTAAAAGAATATTAAAATGCTACAGTAAAAACTCAGCATTACCTATTAAAATTACCTATGTAATTATATTAGATTTGAGTAGATATGGGTCACGGTTGCACTACTGAGTGGAGTACGGAGCAAGGAACGGAGGGAGACGAGGAGTACATCAATCCAGAGAAGTTTAATTACAATAAGGAAACAAGGAAAACTCACGAAGCACAATTAGACATGAACAATACCGGACGCTGAACTAAAAACAGGGAACACTATTTAAACACATGACAAGACGAGGGGATGACGAGACACACCTGGGATCAATGGAAGTAAACGGGGAACAACTGGAATTAAATCAACATAATCAGGACAGGAACAGGAAACTAACCGAATATGGGCAAGGAGGGCACATGGGGAGCAAAAACGCACACAATACACGGAACAAAGTCTGACATGACTCCCCCCTCCCGAAAAGCGCGTCTCGCGCCATATAACATCCAACGGGGTGGGGGGGTGGGCGCTCTGGAGGCCTCTAGGAACACGGTTAATGGACGGAAGGCCTCCAGGGTGGCGGAACTGGCAGTTCGGGGCACCATGGCGGAGCAGGCAGACTCTGAAACTATGGTGGAGCATGGAACTCAGATGGCCATGGCGGAGCTGGCAGCCCAGGAGGTCACGGTGGAGCAGGTAGTTCAGGAGGCCATAGCAAAGCAGCCTTCAAGGCCGGCTTTTACGGCTAGATCCCTGTTACCCCCCCCCCCCAAAAAAAAATACTTGGGGCCGCTTACGGGCTCCGAGGCCCTCCGTGGGCCATGACAGGGGACTGGAGGCCTCCCTGGACTTAACTGGAGATCCAAAGCCCTCCCTGGGCTTAACAGGGGATAAGGAGCCCTCACTGGGCTAGCCGACACTGGAGCGAGCTCTGGGGCTGGAGCCGACACTGGAGCGAACTCTGTGGCTGGAGCAGACACGGGAGCGAGCTCTGGGGCTGGGATGAAGGCAGAGAACAGTCCTTTTCTCTTCGTCCTCCTCCTTTGGTTACGGGTGAACTGGGCAGCTGGCGGGCTTGTCGTTGCAATAACCGGCGGGCTTGACTTCGTAGTGGCCGGCGGGCTTGACAACGGCGCAGCTGGCGGGCCTGACTCGGGAACGGCCGGTGTGCCCGACTTCGTAGCGGCCGGCGGGCTTGACTTCGTAGCGGTGGCCGACGGACTTGACTGGGGAGGGGCCATCCATACTGGGCTGACGACTAGGGTGGAGCTTCAGAGGATAGCAGGGAATTTGGGGTTGGGCAAGCGGTAGGAGCCATTGGAGTGGTATGTGGAGGTTCTCAGCATGGGGTGAGCTGAGGAGACGCGGTGCGTCAACATAATCAGGACAGGAACAGAAAACTAACCAAATATGGGCAAGGAGGGCACATGGGGAGCAAAACACGCACAAAACACGGAGCAAAGTCTGACAATATGTATTTTACTTTTAGAATATTATTAAAAATGAAATAGAAAATGTGATCAGGGCATTAGCCAGACTGGATTTATTTTCAATCATCTTTTTGCCTTCACTTGTTTGTTTTATAATTGAAAATAAATTAATTTTGAAAGTAGGCCTTCAAATATTCCATGTAGTCTCACAATTATTTTCAATTATAATTTAATTATTAAAAAAATAGCAAAATTATTAACTTAAAATTTTCATTTAAAAAAAGACAATCATAACACAGTACTTTGTGTTTTATTAACTTGCCATTAAATTACAGAAAGCTCTCTATCTTTCTTTATTTCTTTATTTGCTATTGGAGCAAATGGGAAAGCAACAATTTTGAATGCATATATTTTCCATGTAGTCTTCCCATTATTTTAAATTATACTTTAATTTAATTATTCTATTTAATATTCTATTTAATTATTAAATAGCAAAAGCGGTTTAAAAATATTTTGATGTTGTATGTCACATGGCAGAACATGTCAGCTTATGACAGCACAATTTCATGTCATTGCACAAGGTTAAAACAAAGATACTGAAGTTTCTCAAGCATAGCCAATGTTTAAGTTCAGCAACAGAATAAGACTAATGACTGTCCGCGATTGTTTAATCCGGTGCATGAGTGATCACAGCTCCTGTTGTTTTGCACTGGGACTGTCATGGCCGGTTCGGCTTGATTAATGCCTGCTGTAGTTTTGGGTTTTGAGTACATCTTTAGCTCCACTGCTATTCTCCAAGCGCTCTGTGGTTCTGCTTCGGGCATTTCCGTTTTGTGTACTAGAACTGGACCCTGCTGACCTGTTTTTCAGTTCAAAGAACAAAACACTGACTTGCCGGACTGACTTGATTAATGTCTCTCCCTTTCACTCTCTCTCTCTTTACTTTTCCTTCTTTAAATCACAACAGTAGTAGCTCTCTTACCTTTGTGATAATCATCTGTTGATATGCAGGTGTTACGATGAAAGTGCTGGTCATGTAGAGGAAAATCACCGGCTCCACTGTAACAACTCTCCTTAGTTTCTCTTTCCATGCCGACATATTCAACTTTGCAGTAACACAACAAGGAAGGACAAAGGAAACAGTCTCTTAAAATATTAAAGTCAAATTAGGTAGAGTAAACCCATGTTAAGCGTTCCTATTGTCCAAAGGGAGTAGTGGATGAAAGAACTCTCTTTTCTTGTTAAAGAGCACTCTCTAAAGTTAGTCACATGCACGTCAGCTGGAACAGGAGGAAATTGTCCCTCTCAACATTCTCTTATCAGGTATTGTTCTACTTTGTGGTTGTAAAAGCGGTTGGCCTTTATTTGCCCTATGAACACATCCCCCACAGATTCACACTTCCCCAGAAAAAGCAAAGAGTTGTGAGAATACTGTTCTTCTTTCTGCAGTATGCGTTTTCAGAATGTTAAACGTGCAACGCGAAATGTCCTTTGAACGATGCAACCATTTTCTCCAAATGGTTTTACTGCAGCGAATACTGAAGTGCACATTGACAATATTCATTTTCAGCGCTTCAGTTATAGCCTGTCAAAGGTTTCTTTTTTGTAAACTTTTGCAAATGTGTAGTATAGTATGTTTAGTCCAATGGTTCTCAAACTTTTTGATGTCAAGAAATATTATATATATTATATACAAATATTTGAAATACTTCCTATCTAAGCTGAAATGGACCTCTGGTACTAATGTTGTAATTTTAAAAAAATTGAATTATATATATATCATTTTAAGAACTATTGGGGCCCCTGTTGAAGTTTGCTGAGGCCTCATAGTAGAGTTGAGATCCATTGGTTTAGCCCCAAATTATGTGCACTTGCACTGTACACTACTGCCATAGAATGTAGGAGGCATTTATACAACACTGTTTTCAACTAAAAACTGAGAACTTTGTATGTGTTTTGGTTGTTTATTTACATGACAATGGCATTTGGGGCCTGGAAACACAAACTTTTGAAAACGGGTTGACGCCATGCGCATACATGCTTTTGTGTTTGTATTTACCACTCTGTAGAAGAATGTGTATGTGTGCGTACGTTGTCATCTAAACGTACCCTTAGAAGTGTAGTTTGTTGCAAATGGAACACTTACGTTTTTTACTACACAGAAGTATTTGCTGGTTTCTATATAAAGAAAGTGATGTTTCACACTCACCTGATATGTTGCTGCTATAGCTTTAACACATTAAGCCCCTCCCTTTCTGCTATGTAGGAAAGCTTAACTGTGAACTGATAAAATGCCCATTCATTACACTAGCTACAGTTTACTCATGTTATGTGATATTCAAACATATTATGTAATATCCAAACAACAACAATCAGCATTCCTTAAGGTACAGTATCACGTTATGCAATAATAACATCATAACGTCCATTAGATTGTATTCACCTAGCTGTATTGTACACAGTATATTAATGTTGAGATACATTATATCAAGCATTAATCATCCTACTCTTTATATATTGGTGTCAATGATTATCTTGTTTTCCAGTTATATAAACATCCTTTAAAACAAAATAAATTAACTGAAGAAGCAAAACAAATTTTAAGCACAAACCTTTATTATCATAAGCACTAAAATCGATTATTTGTTATTGTATTACTTAACATCTGTTTTGCAGTGCATAGAGATCTAATTTTAATTAAGACATGTATAACACAAAAAAATACTAGGCAAACTAAAATGCCGGGGTTGTAATTAAAAAATGTCATACGATAAAAACATTAAAATTACCTCTCAGAAGTCAGCCATTATTTACAACAGTCATATCTGTAATTCAATAACAGGCATTTTGCACAGCACCCCCAATGGTTTCGTTCTGTTTATGCACTTATTGTACCTCCAATCCGTATGCAGAGCGTGAATACCTGAGCCACGGGGAGAGCTCACAGGCAAGCAGGCATGCGGTATGGGAATGAACCCTTTCTCGCCTGAACTAGTGTCTTTCTCTCCAGAGGCCCTGATATCTGCTGGGTAGAGTTCAAATATTTACACAGGCATGCTGGCTGAGGAGTCTTATTTGTGTCTATGCACTGGAATGGTCTATCATACAGCACTCTCATAGATCTGTCTTCTTCAATACTGCCTCAGTTCCTGGTCAAATGTTTAATGATGTTTATCGTTAAACATTATTCAGCTTGAAAAACACGATACTTCTCAGATGTGAGTGTGCTGTGTCATGTTGTGTACATAAAATATGCTACATATACACTCAGCAGTGGCGGCTCGTGGGTTTTAAAATAGAGGAGGCACACTAATTGTATTGGTCTGGGGATCATTATTATTATTATTATTATTATTATTTGCTTAACCACTTTAAAATCACTTTAAAATGTTGCTTTTAGTCAAAAAACGTAAAGAAAACGACACACATACAGCAATATGATACAATTTCATTTGCCTGGCCTATCACTTGAAGCAAACATCCATCCCTTCTTAAAAGTCTGTGTTAAAAGAGCCGACGGCTGTAACGTTAGCCTATATCCAGCTTAGGGTGTTTTCCCTTTATTTTTAATTTGTATATATACTGTTTAAATGACAGCTTGGTAAATCTGTTGGCAATCAAATATTCAATATCGCTACTCATAAGTGCTTGGTACATTATCAGCGCAGCTGAAAACGTTCAAACTAATATCATGTAATTTACGTCTCTATGATGATTGGTTGATATCAGAAGGAGGCTAGCCTCCCTTGCGAGGTTTCTTTTCTCAACACTCCTCAGCGCTGAAAGTGAACACTCGATGGTGATTGGCTAATTAATTTTTTTTACCAATGGAGGCACGAGAGCTCAGCTCTCCCCCATCCTCCCCCTCCCCTTGGTGGTTGTAATTACATCAGCAGATTTGGCACATTCGCGATAGAAAAGCGGTGCTTTTTACTGTAACAACTTCAGTAACATGTTATGGTATTACCGCTGTGAAATTACAAACATAAAATGCCTCCCCTTCCTCCCCCGACGAGCCGCCACTGACACTCAGATATACCCTGCGTTCCATTCGGAAGGGCTCATCCCTATGCCCTAATACCTTCAAAGGGTTGAAGGGTGTAGGGGACCAAACAACTGTTTCTTGAAGTGCCCTTCTGCGTCATCATCACGTGCCCACACGGAGGCACCGTAATCATACAAAGAATCTGCGCAAAGGATCATGGGAGCCCGAAGTGTCCATCAGTTGTACCCTTCGAAATCCTTCATTACGAAGGGCCCTTTGAAGTCGCCAGTTTTGAGCACTTCGGTTTGGAATGACCCTTCAATATGGCAGCCATGATTGTTTTCACTCCGAAGTGCCCTTCGGAGGGCGATATGTCCCGTTTGGAACGCACCGATATATTACCTCTGTTCTACATTCCAAAACCTAGTGGGCATGATGGCTGTTTCAACAGGTAGGTAGCATTATTATGTTGCCTTCTGAGATGACAAAATCTAAGCTAGTGTCACATATTCCCTCAGAATACACTGTCACAAGCTTAGTTAACAAAAATATATTCAAGATGGTGGAAAATAGAAAGGAAAATTTAAAAGTCAGTTGCAGCTGTGAGATATGAATGCAAAATCGTGTGATATGAAGTCGCAAATACAATAAATAAAATATTAAGTCAAATGGTAAGATATGAAATGAAATCGCAATTATTAAATATGAAGTCAAAACCATGAGAAATAAAGTCGCAATTGTGAGATAAGAAAGTCACATTCTGAGTTAAATGCACAATTGTCAGTAATAGTTGCAACTAAGAAATAAAGTATGAAGTTGCAATTATGAGT